ACTATTATTTAAACAAGGGGTGTGAGGAATAAGGCTCTAACTGACTCAGTCTTGATTTTATGTCTCAGCATTGTTTTGTTTGCAGACAAAAAAATAAAAAGGAGAATGAAAGGAGACTCTTGCACAGACGAGAATCCACGCTGGTTTCCACCGTTTTACGGGCATTGGTCAGATTCAACCCAGGGCTCTTTCCTTACAAAATGGGAGGGACTTGGTGACAAGGTTGCCACCAATCTGAGGAGAATGGAACTGGCCAATATCCTGTCTGAATGAATCCAAAAATCTTCCAGGGGGAGTACGCCCCTTGAACCCCCCCTCTCACCCCCCACAAGAAGCTTGCAAGAAATACGTCAGCATTTATTCTACACCTATTGCAGCATATCAGACCTCATACACTTGAGGGCTTTTCTTCACACAACCCTTGAATTATGTGTATTTGAGGCAATTGTGGGAAGGAAGTGTTACATTTTGTAATGCAGTCTAACAATGTGGTACTGAATAAACAGGGCTACTGATAATACATGTTGCATTATTATTATGTGATGACAGGTTTTTGCATAATAGTGATGTTGTGGTTTAAATTTTTCCTTGGTTTTAAATTTTTCAAACCAGTTTAATTTTTGTTTTTCTTTGTCTCTGATTATGGTAATTGATTTTAGACAAAGGAAAGTAAAAATTAAACTGGTTTGAAAACTTTTAAACCAAGGAAAAATTTGAACCACAACAGTGATCTCAAATGACATCCAGCTGAATAACCCTTAACAAACATAAAATTACTTCACCCCTAATGAGATATGCATCATTTAAATGAAATGACAAACAAAATAGCAGGCTAGTTTTTTTGTGAAAAGGGAGAAATTTGAATCCTTGCCTGGCCTTGTAATAATATCCTATTTGTAATATCACTATATTAAGCAAGGGAAATATGTACTTACTTAAGCCAAGTTTCCTGCTCTGGTGTTAACTCAAAATGACTCTGTTATCAAACAAATTGGTGGTTAAAGTTTGATCAACAGAACTGGCCATAGATAAACTCAATAATAAGGACAAATAAAAAAACTAAAATTAATGCCAGAATGTGTAATTAATGTACTGCTTAAAGCATGAAACTCCACACTACAACTTAATTTTCATCCTTTGAATGTGTAATTAATGTGTATGTTGTAGTAAATGTTTTTTATCTCAGGTAATTTTTGTTTTTCTGTTGTTTTGGGGTATGGTAATGAAGTTTAAAAAAAAGAAAAAGAAAAATTACCTGAGATAAAAAATTAACTACAACATGTAATGGAACTAACCTTGAGCAAAATAAATGTACATCATGTGGAAACATTATTATTAATCAAAAACCTTACATGTATATTATTTTTATAGCAATCCATTATTTCAGCATGCATCTTGGGGTGTGGAAAAAAATAGATGAAACACTCCTTCCTGCGATGTGCATAATAATGTGACTAAATGATTGTAATTTAAGCAAGGTAAACTTCCAACCAAATTGAGGGCTGGCTGTGGGTTTTACTCATCTGTGGTCATTTGTGCAGCCGACCTGTGGGGTGCTCTCTAGTTGGCTATGGTACATGTGCCAGATGCTGTAGCTTTGCATTTTCGTGATCGCTGTGGATCAGTGTCTTTGTGTATAAATTATAAAGTCTTTGTATAATTACCATGGCTAGGGTAATGTACGAGGCACAAGTGGTGATATTTACATTGCAAAAGGAAGGGAACTAGGTTTGCGTGTGATCAAGTACACCATGAGAGTAATTTTTAAGCAAGGTGCAACTACTAAATCAAAAGAGTTGCAAACACTTACTGGTTCTAATTTTAATTTGTCTCCCAACTCTAATGTGCTACCAGATAAGTCTAGAACATCAGCACCAATATCTAAAAGATAAAAAGCCTACATGTAACTTCACATAATATTATTGATAAACAGTGTATTTGAAAGTACAATAACAATAAGACAGGTCACTTACTTTCACATAGCATTGCTACAGTAAGATCAACATTTATTTGAAGTTTACTGTTGACAAAATGAGCAAAGATGTACATGTATTAATATCAAAATAAAAAACACTTTACATGTATCATAAAATTGAAAAATAAAAATAGCTAAGCCAGAGAAGAATTCTACCACAATTTAGATGCAGTGTTCCAAGAAACAATAGATCTTATTCCTTGTTTGAAGGTAAAAGTTCTTTTGAGTTTTTCAGAAACAGTCAAGGTTGAAATGAATGAAAACCTAAAAATTTGAGACTGTAAGAGAATCTTAGCAGAAAAGATCTGAAAACTTGTGCACTAACGTTTTTTGTATCAGACAACAATTTTTCACAAAAAAAAGCATTTAAAGGAAAGTATTACCCACCTATTTGCATCTGTGTCCACTTCATAATCATACTTGGTTTCCACAGCTCTGTAGTACCAGAACTCAGAAACCACAAGAATACCAAGAAATAAAAAGGTAAGGATGGAAACTGCAAAAATAAGAATCAAAAAATAATTAAGGAAGTAGGTAATGTGATTCTTATAACAATTTATTTACCTCTTCAATGTCTTCGAACAGCTGAAAAAGAAGCTGAAAACATTTCTAGTCAATTCTGTTTTCAAGCCAACTACTGTCAACTCTTGCCTTGTCACATATGTCTATTAAAAAACCCATAGCTAGAATGGCGATCAGTGGGATGTCAAACCAATCAGAACAGAACTATGTAAGATGTATTGCATATGGACCAATCATAAAGAAATCCAGATTCTGGCTTTTTTACATGTGATCTGGTAAATAAGTGTAGCCTGATGTTATACATGTAGCTACTGATATTTTTAATCTTGAGAAGGTCACCTTCATGGACATATTCATGAGGACGTCATGGATGAATGCTAGAAACTTTACGCTGTGACCTGCATGTACATGTTATTGTATATCGTAGTTGAGTATGTGACCAGGAAGTAGCGGCCGGTGAAGGAAGGAATAAAATTCAATAATTTAGCTTCTTTATACATTTTTTTAGGAATTCTCAGACTCAGAGACTGAGAGCCTTATCTACAGTTGTTTAAAGAACTTACCAGAACCACCGCTAGCTGTAGTTTGTTGATAATTTTCTGGTACTTTAGGGAAAGCATCCAATTCTTTTAAAACTTTGAGTGTTTGTTTTCGGTTCCTAACGGCTCCAAGTCTACGCATTTTAACCCTGATGGCTTAACTAGCCGATTATATTAATTTTCAGCTCACTAAGGATGCACTAAGTCCTAAAAAGTAAAGAGAAACAGCGTCAACTTCTCGTACAATCACCAGACGCCATGTTGAAAATCCACGTTTTTGATCATGCGCAAAACGTAAGTGACCATGATGCACTGCTGCAATCTTGGAAAGACAGAAATGGTTCTGGACTCAGAGGTCTAGGGATAGCGGAGCGGGAGGCTGGGATGGCTTGAGCTTCCCCACAATTACCAAAAATAAAGTAAAGAGTACTTTCTAAGAAGAGAGTCTCCTCAGATTCCCCACTTCAATGGACTAGTCAGCACTCCAACTTGGAAAAGATAACGATGGAGTGGCTGAGGTCAGGTCGAGTCCGCGAGCCTCCCACACCACCCAGACGGTCTTAGGTTCCTTCCCCACATGAGAAAAAACACAACGTCTCTGTAAAACGGACACTTAGAGTTGGTCCTTGCCTTTCTTTATTCAATTTATTTGATTCTCTGTAAGACGGACAGCTCTCTAAGACGGACACTTAGGGACCGGTCATTATTTATCGCCCGGGGGGGGAGGGGGCGGCGGATTTTTGGGGGGGATAACTTGATTTTTAGGAGAAAAAAGGGGGAATCAGTCGTAACTGAGAACCCATAAAGGAGGAACACTGAAAACGTTGGAAGGATTCAGAGGGGGGACCACTCAAATTTGCTTGGAAAATGAAGATATGGAGGGGATCGTGAAAGTCATCAAATGTTATTAGGGGGATCACTTCAGTGAAGTAACATTCAAAGGGGGGATCGGCTGAATTTCACCTTGTTTAGCCCCAAATCCTCCGCGCCCCCTCTCCACCCCCAGGCGATAAATAATGACCGGTCCCTTAGGGCACTTTTCATTTGTCAGAACTGACCGGCTAGACCATTCTCGTAATTTTAGAGCCGGTCCTGAAGGTGTCCGTCTTAGAGAGAGTTGACTGTATTTCCAAATTTTATCGCCATCGTTACTTCTTTCTCGTAAGCGTGAAAAAGGGCAGGATTTCAGCACATTACATGGAAATTTCCCACTAACGTAATCGTCTGATTCTTTTCAAAGGGAGAGTCAGGTGAGAGGGGGTGATAAGCTCCAAGCTAGATCTAGAGCGATCTAGCGCCCAGTTTCATAAACTGAGAATAAAAGTAATACTAGACTGAAAGAAACACAACAGGCACACTTTAGAATTCAGATCCAATCATTTCACTCTCATATACCATTGAATAAGACAACTTTCAGACGCTGTAACAGACATTTTATTGATTCATTTACATTTGTCTTCCAAAGACTGTTTTCTAAAACTCTACAATTGTAATCTTGTTCTCCACCCTTGTCTCATTTCATTAATAGTTAAGAGTGGTTTACATGCGACTTACAAGTGGCTTGGGGAATGGAACGCTCACGGGAGAGGGGAAAAACGGTAAAAAACGAAAAACAAAAAAACAAGAGGGGAAGTCTATTTTCACGCCTTGCATGTTATAAACATGTCCTGATCGGCTGATTTTCTTGGATTATCGCATTGCGGTCTTATGTAGTTGTTGGGTTATTTATTATTAAGACATTGACTCCACCTAGTGACCACCTAATTTACGACATTCTCAAGTAAACCTTATTTTGAAAACTATTTAAAAAATAGTATCTCCAGCTGTGAATATGGATTTTTCCCTTGAAAATGAGGACCAAATTTAGGAAATTTCTCAAGTTTTGCCTGCCGTTTTCTATGCTTTAGCTGCAAACGCTTGTCTAATTTCACCACCTCACTGGCCTCAGACGCACGTCCCTCCTATTAGAATACTTGTATTTTATGATGTCCTCTGTCTGCTACAACGATATTACCGTGCCTTGAGATAGCAAGGCCAGTCGGCTTGCCAAAGACACCGCCATTTTTAGTCTCTGTGTCACCAAGCTTCTTGATAAACACCCCATCTGAATCAAGGATCTGAACGTCAAGGTTCTTCAAGTCCGCGACAGCAATGTGCCCCTCGGAATCTATCGCAATGCCTGCTGGGCAGCTAAGTTGGCCATTGTTACTTCCCTTCTCTCCAAATTTGGCAAGAAACTCTCCTTCACTGTTGAACTTTTGTACTCGGAAATTTCCAGCATCCGACACAAAAATGTCGTCGTTTTGATCGACGGCGATATGTCGTGGGCAATTGAATTTGCCTTTGCCATCTCCGTACACGCCGAAATGCATAATCGCTTGGCCTTCGGAGTCAAAGATGTGAATTCGGTGATTGTCGCGTTCGGCGACTATAACCCGACCATTTGAATCCAAGGCGAGACCACAGGGACCTTTAAGCTGGCCGAGACCGGTACCTTTAGAGCCAAACTTTCTTACGAACTGGCCATCGTTTGTAAAAACCTGTGGGGTCAAATAACTCAACAGATCAAGACAAGGAAGATTAAGTACTATTAAATGGGTAGTGTGATTGGTATAAATTAAAATAATTAGCTAGGTGTCATCTGTTTCTCAACTAAAATTGGACAAATTGTATATTGATTCTACTTTTAAGGGTTTCTACTCAGTAAAGCATCCGCTTACTTGAATTCTATGGTTGCCGTGATCTGCCACAAAAATATGTCCGCTTTCACTCATGCACACTCCAGCTGGGTACCAGATCTGCCCATCTGCTTTTCCCCGCGTGCCGAACTGGTGCAAAAGGCGTCCATTGGTGTCAAAAATCTTAGGTAAAAAGAAGTTAGAATTATTTTTTTGTTCTCTATCTTTATTCGCAGTAAAATAGGAATAAACGACTGTTTGACTATGACAATTGACGGATTGAAACGCACCAATGACATTACGAGTCTTCTTGGCCAATAACATCACGGCTTAACTGACAGACGACCAATAACATCGCGACTTAATTTACCAATCAAGTCAATAACCAGAGTTTAATACCATCAACTGACGTGATAGTACTCTCTTTGACTCTGAAGATGACTACCGCGCAGGTTGTCGAAACGTCAGTCACTGTAAACAACAACAGTCATATTCTAGACTACGTTCATTCGGAAGATCATACTCAACCTATTTATGAAATGACTTCTGGATTCAAACCTTTCGCAGTTTTAATACATGTCAAGCTTACCAGCTTTCAACCTTCAGTACCCGGCTTTTCAAGTATAAAATTTTACACAAATACTTACGCCTCTTTAACCAATCAGAATGCGAGATTTGGTTTTATACTAAACTTATTTAATTGCCAACCCCGGAAACTATAAGGAGAATGGGTACAAGCTTTCGGTGCAAAGATTTCTGGGATCTTGGTGGACAAACGTTACTTTTAATTGGTTAATGGTTGCCTTGATTACCATCGTCCAATCCTAACTAACGCTTGCCCACCCAAACAATCCCAGAAACCACTGTACCCAAAGCCTGGACCTATTCTCCCTAGAGTTTCAGAAGTGGGGAATTCTCACTAGTCTGAAATGTCACTCGTCTCTTTGCCCCACCCCCCCCCCCCCAACGGGCGCTCGTTGGGGGTGGGGGGGGGGGAGGGACGGATGACATGTCAGACTAAATTGTCACCTGAATGTGATGATTATGATGGTCTGAGACGACATACAGCCCTTTAGGATCAGCGGCAACTCCCCAAGGCTCGTAAGACTCGTCATTGCTGTTATCGCTGTTGGGAGTAAACCTTAGCAACACTGGTCCAATTTTGGTACAGTCTATACCTGAAGTAACCTGTGAAAACAGAAAGGTACTGCCACTATAAGAAAACAAAAGGAGAAAACCTGTATCTTAAGACTATGTGATTTTGAGCTCCCTTGACGCGATAAAATCACATAAAACATATTCAGGAGGGAAAACAAACACTAGGCTTATGACGCTAAAAATTTAGTCCTAAGAAACATTTAGATAAAAAAACACGAGAGTGACTTATATATCTCTTTATAGCTTATTGCGATTAGCTGAATAAACGTGTATGGAATAACTACGTTCACATAGCATCGACCAGTTGAAAATTCGTGCGTTTAGTTGTTCTGTTCCCACGGAGCCACAGGAGTACAAAATTTATACGCTTAGCCGTTCAAAGTTCCGTGTGAACAGAGCAAAAATATTGTGCGTGGTCCCGTGTGAACGAAGTTTCTGGTCCAGTTTTTCAGCCGGTCGAAAATTCGTCCAATCGGTGTGGACATAGCCTGCATCTTGCCTAGTACTTAGGTCTCATTACTCCGCGCGGCCAAAGCGTTTCGGGTCACGTGGTCCAAGCATCGCCTCGGATATGTCACCGAAGTGAATTGACTATTTTGACCTTAATTACGTTGCCCTGGACAATACGTCAAGTAATCAGTACTAAAACGTTATACGATAAAAATCTCAGCTAAAATTGGGAAGCTAATAGAACAAAACCCAACACAAGACAAACCTGAAGGTCAAATGGACTGCCTTGAATGGATTTTCCTCGCGCATGTACGGTGATCTGGTGTTCTCCCTTGGAGACTGGGGTAAAGGAAGCCGTGTAAGTGCCATCACTGTTGTCTTCTACAACGGCTGTGATTGGTGAACCGTTTGGACAATGAAGTTTGACTGACAGTAAGTCTCCACCTACAAAAGAAAAATGCATTTGGATCAGTAACAAGGTTAATTAAAATCAAATAACTTAGTTACGTGAGGCATTTTGCCACTTAAGAAACGAGAATGGACTTGGGCCGAAATGTGTCCCGCGATTGTTTCTGGAATCGTTACGCACTGGGGACTCGCCCGTCAATTTTTTTAACTGTCCCGAATAACAGTCCCAGAAGTCTTTACGAACGTTAACTCGAACCAGTCTCCTTCTCGTTTCTAAAGTGGCGAATAAAGTGAATCTTCGAGGCGCAAAGTGGCGATGACTACCATTCTTAAGTAGGACTATCACTCTTAAAGTAGGAGTTATTTGAACTAGAGAATTGCATCATTACCCAGGGTAGAACCGGGTGTGTGAAGGCGCACGCCTTGAGCAAGAAAGGAGACTTCTCCTCTTGACTAGAGGAAATGAATTCTCTGTGAGCGTACTGGGAATAATTTGTGAGGGAATAATTTGGAGAATTGCTTCATTACCCAGAGTGGAAACGGGTGTGTGAAGCGGCACACTGCGCGCACACCTTAAGCAAGTTAGGAGGCATCTTCTCTTGACTAGAGGAAATGAATTCTCTGTAAACGCCGTGAGAATAATTTCCTAAGTAGCCTTAACGTGTTTTCATTTGATAGTAAGATTTCTTTTCTTTTTTTATCACATACCAGTCACACAAGGCTCTCCGTTTCTGTCTTTTGCTGTAATCTTGAAAGTTGACTTGTGTCCAACCTTGCCCTTAGACAAACCAGGACCCTCTGCGCATGTCAGCATAGGGAACAGGTAACTAGTGGATACCGTCCCAAGTTTAGCTACGACTTTGGAAAGCTCCTCATCATTAGATGAGAACTCGATGACCTGAGGACGAAAGAATGGGTTCAACACATATTATATTGGCTTCCTTTCTGTATCAAAGGTAAAAAACACTTTACGTTCTTGTTCCCCAAGTCAAAATTCTATAAAATCAGTGTCATGGTCTATAGCACTCGCAAAAATAGATTCTCAGATCACGCGCACAGAATTTTCAGCACGCGTTTTGCCAATTAAACTCCAGTTAGTCCCCTTCTCTTTGTCGCCTTTTATAAGTAAGGATGACAGCTTCCCAGTTCTATTTCAAACATTTTTCTTTGCATCTTAAAGATATAAATGTTTCAAAGTAACGAAACATTAAGTTTAGAGGTTATCAAGGAAATGTTTTCAACTATATTATCTTTAAATTTGGAATTTACACTGATTTTCCCCTATTCTTTTTTTATCTTCTAATAATATCTGCCTCGTTTTTTTAGTTGCTGGACTGATTAAGTTAGGGTCATGCGCAGTACCTCGTTATCCTCAGGTTCACATTGTGATTCGTGATTATTCAGGTTCTGAAGTCTGCTGACCATCTGCGGCTTCACCAGCATAATCTCAGCCTCATTTCCGTACCTTAGTACATTTTCAGTGAATTCACAGCTGCTAAGCAGGTTTGAAAGGTCCAGTTCCAGTATTTTCTGTTGACTTGTTAAAACCTAAAAATCATAGAAAGTTTGGGTTTTAGTATTGGCTTGCAGTTACTTGCTGACTCGCTGCAGCACTTTACCCACTTGATTTTTGTTTGAAGATTTTCTAAATAAGGAGTACCGTGTTGTGTGTTTGAGTACTCTTATTGTACGCCTTCTGTTATTCACTGAATATAACGTTAACTCGCATATGCGGCAATTTAAAGGTGTTATTAAACGCCTAAACGTAAAGTGGTTCTTTGGCAAAATGTATTAAACAAGGAAATGTTTTACCCCACACCCCATAGATCTAAAAAGGACGCTATTAGGGTTATCCCTAGGCTCAGTCTCCAGCCTTGGGTGTCTCGATGCGCCCGCGGTACTCCCCACCCGACCCTGACCGACCCGACCCTGGTGGGGAGTACCGCGGGCGCATCGAGACACGCAAGGCTGGAGGCTGAGCCTAGGATATCCACAGCATTGTGCGTTGCTAGTATTTATTGTACACGCTTGATGAAACGAGGTAATTTGAAGCAATGTTTTTTACTTCAGAAACAAGATCATGAAATGAGGATGATTTGAACTGCCAAAATACAAATTTAAATGAAGATATTATCGTCGCAGTTTAATAGAAATTGCAGATTAATTAACCCGAGGCTTCAACGAGATTGGACCCCATAGCATCTGCGTTAGCACTGCATTGCTCTACCGAAAACCGAGCTATGAAGGCCCACACCTTGGGAGAGGGCCGGACCATTTGCTGAGTTCATTTTAACCCGTGAAAAGGGTGAAACATGAAATGAAGATGATGCGTACGGCAAAAATACGAAATTAAATGAAGATCTGATCGTTGCAGTGGTAAAAACCGTTTAAACAATTCTCATGTCAGCCACTATGAGTCAAACGACGTCCTATCACTTTACCTCTTCCTTGGAGTCTGATATGCTCTCCAATTGATCAATCAGCTCTCTTTCTTGTTTCTCAAGTTCTCGAATGTGATTTTGGATTGTGTTACGAATGGTATTCCTCACAACCTCCACTCTTTCCCTAAGATCACGTGTCACGTCATGCACTTCCTCAACAGCCGCCCGCAACACTGGAATCTTGCGCTTTGTCTTGTCTTGCAGAGCTGCGATTGTGGACCGATATTTCTTCACAGCTTCCCTTAGATCTACATACATGTGTTCTCTGTGTTCGTAAATGGCACAGTCGCGACAAATGGCTTCGTCGCATGTCTCACAGAAATATTTCAGAACCTGAGAAGCCAATCAAATACAAGAAAGGTGTCAAATACCATGTACAGGTGCAAGCATTGCCCCCCGGGGGGGCGGGGGGGCACTACCTTATTTGGCCTAGAAGGGTAAGATCCGCCGAACAGGGTTTGGTTTTCAGGGTCTTGAGTCTTACACAGGTTAAACAATTTCACTATTTAGTGTCTTGAACAGTGTGTCTTTCAAACTGGTCCCCAGGGTTTTTCCCTTAGAAATTGAGAGGGGTGCCCTCAGTACAAGATTAGGGAGCTTAAGCAACGACGACGGCGACGGCATCAAGAACGGCAAAAAAGCAATAGGTTTCAGGATTGGCAAAACAACAGCTCTGCACGTGCATCACACTTTTTTTGTACATTTCTTTGCAGTCACTGCATGACTACGACGTGTTTTCTGCAACACCAGACAAAGGATTTCTTTTTCTTTTCCTCAACTTCGATACAGTCTTTTAGAATTTAACTCCAGAGAAAATTGCCAACATTTGATAAATTGAACGAAATGGAATAAGCGCGATCAAGTTTGAAGCAGCGAGACTTCACTTTTTAAGTGACGTTTTCGTAGCCGTCGCCGTCGCTGTTGCTTAGGCTCTCGAATAAAGAATTGATGACGAACCTCTCGAGGATGTACCGAGCAAAATGATGGACACCGAATGATATCCTTAACTTCATTGGCCTGAATCTCGTCGAATGATAAAATCCTGTGGTCTATCGTTTGTCGAATTCTCTTGTGAGCAAACACGCAGTTTGTACAGAGGTTTTCCACACAGTCCAGGCAGCGCGCTGTGGCCTGGGAGCTATCTTCGCAGTTGGTACACTTAGTAGGATTCTGAACCGCTAGCACGGTCAGCATATTGTTGATGAAGAAGTTGAGCGGAAACGCCTCGATTCCTTTGGCGGGAACTGGGACGAGAAGCTGGCATATTGAGCACTCGAGAGTCCGATCTTGAGATCTGCATAGGATTGACAGACATAGAAATCATTTCATGTTAATCATGACCACATCTAACATAAACTAAGTGATGCACATTAAATGTACATGAAAGTAATCTTACTGAATCATATTTGTTTGCCCTACTCTGCTTTGACGGACAACTCTCGGATTGAAATGGGTGCCTTCGTTCAACAGTCATTTTCTTTCACTTTCCACAAGGCGAACACTTTTCTAAGAAGAACAGTTAAGACTAAGCCATTGCAAAGGTGTCCTACTGTCTGAGAAATAATTGACCGCTGATAAAATTCCAGAGATTTGATGAACTTAATAATTAATAATAATAATAATAATAATAATAATAATAAGGAATAATAATAATAGTAACAATAACAACAATTATTATTCTTTAATCATCCTCTCCCCTTATGTGGCTTTTCAGGGATAATGAAAAGAATAATTTAAATAGAACATAACATGGTTAAAAATCCCAACCGGTAGGAGGCGAACCAGTTGGCTGTTTTCAAAGCGTCCCCGAGGATTTAAACTCGTGACTACCGAAAGCAAATCAAGCTAGCGGTTTAGGAGGAACTTGAACTCTGGGTCTCCGGATTACAAGTCCAGCGCTCTAAACGCTCGGTAGTACTTGAGTAAAGCAATTATTTCAACTGCGGTTGTTCGTAGATATACGAATGATCACAGACTACTCCGCACTACTTCCTCGTTCGTGTGGACGTGTTAGGCTTGTGCCTAGACTTGCCACAAATCGACTGCGTGAGCGATGGGTGAGAGAGTCGAGCTCTTGCGTGTGCCAATTGACGCTTTTGGCGCCAGATAACGCGCCTTGCGAGTATTAGCAAAAGAGGATTAAAATGAAAATATAACGCCTGTTTTTTATTTTATCTGGGTTATATATTATGACTATGCAGATTTTGATAGCTACTTTTGCCTTGAAAGTATTGTGGTAGTCCTTTCTTAACCCCTTGACAAGACCTACTTGTAACTAACGAGAAGAGTATCAGTGAATTTGGTGATAGGTCACCAATTTGCTCATACCCCGTTTTGCTCGAAACGAAAAATTTTTCAGTGCAAATTCAATAGTAGTTCTTATGAAAATTGACATTTTCTATACTTTTGTTTTGTTCACTCTATAGGCAAACTACCTTTAAATCTAGTGTGCACATACCGTAAGCTGTGATCCCTCAGGTACCCGTAAAAAAATCACTGAACTGTTTAAATCTTTAAAAATTCAAAACAACCATTGATCCCAAACTTTCTTTTCGTAAGAATTAACACCAATGGATCGTAATTTTCTATGATAAACTTTTTTCCTGGAGAGGAATAATCCAAAGTTAAGGTATTTTAAAAGCGTTTGAAATATTAAAGTGAGAATTTACGTTCACATAGAAAATCACTGTTACAAAATATACAATACATATATGATACAGCTGTAAGACACTATAATCGTTTTTTGTTCGAAAATTATTCCTCCTTCTCCTTAAGTTAAACAGGAATTTGAATGAAAACGGCTTTTAAGCAGAAAATAATAAAAACTACCTTATATTAGAATCCAGACAGTTCTGGCAGAATGAGTGAAGACATGGCAAGACCTTTGGATTCTTGTACGTCTCCTTACAAATTCCACACGTTAGCTCATAATGATCGGTGATTTTGTTCACTGGCACGGAGCCCATGGCGCAAATGCCTTTACAAGGCCGGGATTCACATGAAAAAACAATACGCCGTTCAAAACGGGAAATTTCTCGTGTAATTTCTTTTTACCGCACGCGATGCCGTTAGAATCGGCTTCAGTCAACGCCTTGACAGGTTGATTTCATGTTGTGTCGTGAATTTTGATTGGCTAGGAGCTGGTATGTGATGTAATGCCCGTTTGTGATAGATCACATTGTTTAGGCTTTGATTGACATCCATGGAAATAATATAACAAGAAAACAATTTTGGCCTTTGGGTTTTTAGCGAGATTAAACTGAGAGGATGAGTTGTACTGGGGATTGGATGGGGCACAAAAGTGATCTAATTTGCTTGTCATCAAGCGTAACACGTCTCCTCCCCTCTTCTCCACCCCTAATGAATGACACTTGTAAACCAGCAGAACCATGATAGTTCAGCTCTTTGTAACGCCAGAAGGAAAGTGTTTTTTAAACTTTCAGCGTTTATAGTTTTCCTTAATAACATGGCCCCAAATTTCTGGATTGTCTCTCTCGTTTTTTAAACCCCTAACGATTTCTTCAATGGCGTGCTGAATTTTGCCTGGTCTATAAATACTTTATAATCCCTATGAAGAGTAAACACCATGCTCATTGAACCATACGCTGCCTTTCACTCAATTTTGCATGTACAGCCACAGCTGCTGACCAATCATAGCATGATAATGAGCTAACACGTGACTGGAGCGAAATAATAATTTCCACCAGGGAAGAGCGCGCACCAATGGTTTTCCCGCCAAAAACTACAGCAACCTAATAGGTTTATTGTTTTCCCGCTAAGACTGACAGAAAGTAAAAACCCTTGTGTAGGAGGTCTTTTTGTTGTACAGATGATGCGTGACATGTTTCTGAAATTCTCCTTCTTTATGTTTTCCCGCCAAAACAGAAAACTCCATCCGTGGATTGTTTTCCCGCCAAAACTGATACTGAAAAAGAGACGACCATGAAAGCTACGGGTAAACGAAGACGAGCAGCCAGAGGTGAAATAAAAATCTTAACGCAGAGAAAAAAATATTTCCTTTACTTAAAACTCTGTCCCATAGCTCTTCACAATTATTTGTTTTGCATGAGTGGAAAAAGAATAATAAAAGTGGCTACTGCCCTATGTTTTAACCTTGATAAATTATGTTCAGTCGTCAAGAAGTCTTTTGAACTTTTAGCAAAATGGCGCTAATTGTCATCACCGTTGTCTAAGTGAAGTGCTGTGATAAGAGAAATGAGTTTTGGTCGTCAGGTTTGTATGCCTAATGAAACGGACACCGTGCAGTGTGCGTTTCCCTTGGTCGTTTTTTTCTTCCAGGGGTTCGCACCCGAAGAATTTCTTCAAACGCCTTAAATAAAATAACGACCGGTACCAGTTAATCTTTTGTTCTTAAGTCTGTAAGCAACCTCGTAAATTGGAATATCTGCTGACTCTAAAATGACTCAGTAACTGATGACAAGGATTTTAGATAAGGGTCACAAATGATCTAAAATCAATGAAAGCAGATCTCCCGATGTGTCCCTCAAGAATTAACTCAAGTTAAGATGCAAGTCTGAGAGTAAATCACCGCAAGAGTTGGTTCCAAGTCGGTTAAGCAGGTCAAGCGTAGATCACCCCTCCCAGCAAACAACAAAGAAGAATTTCTGTTTTTCATCTTCCTCTTTTTGGGTTAAGCATGAGGTTATGAAATTGAACGCCGCGTGAAATTAACCATAAGGTTGGCCGTTTTCACGCGATTTTGCTTCCGACAAAAGATCAGATAAGTCCAACAGTAGAAACAAAAAACAATTAAAGTTTCATGAAAGTACCTCATGGTGAAAAAACTCAAGAGCGCAAAGCATGAAGCGGAAAGGAGCTGATTAAAAAATTATTCCTTTCAGTCAGGGCGTAAGGGCCGTGAAGTGAAAATCATTTCCACAAACAATGGCAACAGTGAAAGACGAGAAATATTCACCTCAGTCGCTAGAGTGCCCCATCTGCAAGAATATTTTCAACGACCCAAAGATCTTATCATGTCTTCACTCGTTTTGTCGCAAGTGCCTGGAGAGCTACGATGTGATCGGCGCGGGCACCAACTCAATCGTTTGTCCCCTCTGTCGAAAGCTGACTGCAATTCCAGTGGGGGGAGCCCAGATTCTACCCAGCAACTTTCTGCTGACAAACGCACTGGATCACTTGTCCGTAAAATCAAGCAAGGAGTATACACTACACTGCACAAACTGCGAGGACGAGGCAGCAGCAACGTCTCGATGCTTGGATTGCGCCGAGTTTCTGTGCTCGAACTGCGTTTTGGCTCACCGACGAATACGAGTAACCAAGGACCATCGTATCCTGTCGCTTGACACGCTTCAGGCCGATAAACAGACGCTTCATCGTCCGTCTTTCTGTACTCAGCACGCAGACGAGATGTTCATGTTTTATTGCGTGCCCTGTGACTGCTTGATCTGCCGCGAATGCACGATTCTTGACCATCGTGGACATAAGTATGCAGGTAAGGCCTTAAAAGCAAGAATAGTCAAACTTTGCAGAAGCGTATATAGCGCGTAAAGATCAGGTACTTAAGATATCGATATGGTTTCGAATGTAGCCGCTAAGCGTACGAGTACCATTGATGAAAAAGATCAATAAAACACTACGTAATTCTCTGTCACAGCTAACAGGACCCCGCCAATGAAAAAAGATGAGACTGGTGGTTAGGTAAGAGCGATAATTTTTCCTATTGCTGGCCGATACAGTAAAATTCAAAGGCGTAAAATTCCAACTTTACAAAATGTTATCCTTCATCTCCGTTTGGCACTGATTTTTCAGCTTGCATGGCCCTGCGCGAGTAGAGATCCAGTGGAAAGAGACTTCAACTGAGTGATCTGCTCTCACTAGCTGTCCATACAGTGAACCGTCATTTTTTCAGCAAAAGCATTTTTCTCTTATTACCGCACAAAATACTAAGCTGGTTTCAAGGAGCGAACAAAACACAAACACTAAGCTTGCTTTGAGACAAGGTAATGATAATAGCATTGCAAACTATGAAGAATAATGCATTTTTTGGGGAGCAAATTTGCAAAGACTGGGAAAAAAATGATAAAGCTTGTCATGCACTTTTCTACGATGGTTTGTTGTCAAATGTTCATGTAAAGAGAGAAAGCTCAAGCAGTACAGAGGCGGACCAGTTATTAACTCTAGACTCAGGAGAGATTCAAAAAACAAGCAAACAGAATTTCCTCTTTTTTAACCGCTCACCACTAGATCGTAGGTTTGCCGTTCATGTCAAAAGGAAATCATGTTTAACATTTTTTATGAAGAGACTTGTTGTAAAATCTATTTAACCGCCAAAGAAAAAAAAAATAAGATAGATGGGCATTTTGGCGACTTGTGCTACGTTTCAAGACTGGAATCTGATTTAGGGCATGAAGGCGCGGGATTCGAAGTGGTTTTAAGTTAAAGCAAGCATACTGCGACAGTCCATACAAAGAACAAAAACACAGTAGAATATTCGTGAACATAACCTTAACAGGTTCTGAAATCAAAGTGACTTGGTTAGATGAAAAGAGTACCTGTAATTGGAGCAAGTGGCACAAAGCTTAAAGAAAATAGGTGAAAAACAGGTGTGAGATATTGCTTTGAACGATCACCGACGTTCTCTGTTTTGTAGACTCTGCACTTCTTTGGTTATTTTCTTGCTAACTAAAAATTCGCTTTCATCACCAGAGGTGTTATTTAGGTAACTGGTAAATGTAAAGAAATGGATAACTCTGACGTTTCGAGCGATAATTAAGTTGTTTGAGTAAATTTAAGGACCTCAAAGAATTGTGGGTTGTGTGGAATTTACTTAGTGGGGCCCCGTGAGTGGAGGAGCTTAGGGTTAGGGTTAGGAAAATCTTTGTTGATTTGTTAACTTATGGCCTGCATGGGCGTGTCACAAGTCCCCCTTGCTCCCCCGGCCTGCAACGTCGAACGTCTACCACTCATTCTAGAGCTCGGTTAGTCTCCTTTGCAGCGACTCGGACCGGAGTCACGCAAGCTCCCCGCCCCCACGCGCTAGGGCTCAGTCCACAAGAATGCAAACATTTTAAAACCCCAATCGGTGTCTCTTCTACATGAAACCAGGGTAACCGTATCTTTTTAAACCCCTCTCCCCAGAGGTTTTTTTTTGCAGAAGAAGCCGGATATTTTCGAAGTTAGTAAGGTGTGTGGTTTCAGGCCGTCCGCTTCGTGTGACGGGTCTAAGCCTTTCATCACTCATCCTGAGACTCTTTTTTAGGTCTAAAGGAAGCGTTAGAAGAACGAAAAGTACTCATCGATGACCTTCTGAATTTCTGCATTGAAAGAAAGATTCCCCCGGTCCAAGATGCCGTGCATGAGGTCAAGGCCATGGCCGCTAAGCTGCGCGCACGCGCAGAAGCCGTTAAAAGTGAGATCAGTGCCACGGCGGAGGAATGCGTCAAACGAATCGTCAGCCGAAAGCAAGAAATACTGGCAAGGGTAAATTACTCAATTACAATGGTTCTATAAAGAGTTATCCTCAGGTTGTCTGTCTCGGTTTTGGAGAATAAACAGTTAATTATGTTTATTGGGTTTTCAATTTCAAAACCACTTCTTCTTTCTTTCTTCTCGATGTCCGGAACTCAATAAGGGACATTCCATTAAATTATTTTGATATATATACACACCCCCTCCCCAAGAGGTGGGATTTTTTGTGGGTAGCCTCGAAAGTTACTGCTGAGGGGGTTGCTTCGGCACCTTTAATATTCGGATTATTTCTGAGGGGTACGGAAAAAAATCTCTTTTCTTGAAGGGCTAAAGAAAAAGGGAGGAGTTTCTAAGAGGTTGGAGGATCTTGTCGCTATTTTTTTTGTCTTAGGGGGTAAAAGTCGAGTTACCTCATTTATAGCGCCGCCGGGGGGTGTCGAAATTAAACGGAACGGCCATGAGTACGGTTGTTTTTTTTTTGCCTTATTTAAGCTTCCAAAAGAACGATCTCGAACCGTTAATTTTCTTGCTTCTTTCAGGTCGACGCCCTAGAACAAGAAAAAGAGGCTGTACTCCGTAACCAACAGGGTCAACTCGAGACTGAACTCTTCAAGTACACGAGCTCACGTGACTTTGTAGAGAACGTTCTTCTGCATGGAAACGAAGTGGAAATTATCCAGCTTCGCCAGCTGATGCTTGATCGCTTGGAAGAACTCAACGCTATAAAGTTGGATTACAAAGAACCGGAAGAAAACGATGTTGTAGATTACATACTCAACATGGAATCAGTAGAAAAAGTCGCGACAACGATGGGCCGCGTGACATCTAGTGTGACGTTTAGTGCTTTGTGTAACGCTAGGGGCCTCGGTATAAAGTCTGGAAAAGTAGGAGTGGAGTCGTCCTTTGTAGTCGAGTTGAAAGATCGCTTTGGGAATACATCGGTTGAAGGCGATCACTCTTGCCCGGTGCAAGTAAAAGTACAAGCTCCTGAGGGTTTCTTCGTCGGGAATAAAGTCACGAATAATGGGGATGGAAGCATGAGAGTGCGTTACACTCCTGTCACGCATGGCAAGCACCTTGTTCACGTGGCAGTCCGTGGGCGAGAGATTGAGGGAAGCCCTTTTACCGTTAACGTATTCGAAGGAATCGATTACCAAAAGGTTGGCCCGATATTCATGAAGATTGGTTCTCAGGGAACGAAGAGCGGCGAATTCAAGCAACCGTGCTCCGTAGTAACAGACAAAGAGGGACATATATACGTCACAGACTTTGTCAACTGCCGAGTTCAAAAATTTGACGCGCTTGGAAAACATCTCTTGGATTTTGGGTCTCGCGGAAGCAAAGATGGTCAGTTTCAGAATCCTTGTGGTATCTTGGTTGACGCTAATGGCATAATCATCGTATCAGACTGGGATAATCATCGCGTGCAACTGTTTAGTCCTGAGGGAAAATTTATTGGCAAGTTTGGATCTAAAGGTAGGGTTCTTAGCGCCGGTTTTCTATTTAAGGTGGTCGGGACAGGACACCAAACAGCGTAAGTGAATCACGTTTGAAGCTTACCGTACTGACAACTATTCAACCTCACTATTACGGACGGTACAGGTGGTCTAAAGTCATACATTTCCCATCACTATATTTCAAACACCTTGTAGTAGGCGCAACCTGGTCCCAAAAGCCCTGGTAACGAGGTTGTAGCAGGCGTTGTTTTTTTAGGGTAAAGGGAGAAATTTCGAGGGTTCACGAGGGGAGAAAACGGAGAGGAGGCCTCCTCTTCCCTTTGCGTGTTCCCCTCGCGCGCTGTATAAAGAACTAATAAACAACGAACTGGCGCCTGCGAAGGAGGCTAACACATTTATAGTTCGGCCAACTATTTAGCTCTCTCTCTTTTTGTGTGCAATCAAACCTCGTTGATACGGGCACTTAAGTTAACAACACAGGGTTTTCACTTTACAGAGGTGTCTGTATTATAGATATTAGTATTGCAGGACTTAATGGTATTTAATTTGGACAAAGAGAGATCTTCGCGTCATGCGTAAAGTACAAGTCTGTAGGTAGACCAAGGGAACTCTTTCTTTTCCACTGCAAATGTAGTGTATTGTAGGATCAAAACGTTTACAAACAGGATTAACAAAAACTCACTTGTAACTAATCACTGGATTTATCTGACATTTTAGGATCCGAGGACGGCAAACTGAATCACCCTGCTGGTTTAGCTCTGACCAAAGACGGCAACTTGCTGCTGGCCGATAAAGACAACCACAGAATACAAGTCTTCAAGATGGATGGGACCCACATCATGTCATATGGTTGTCATGGCAACGAAGACGGTCAACTCAACAGTCCGAACCACGTGACACTAACAGACGATAACGGTTGCCTGGTAACTGATACTGAAAACAACCGAGTCGTAAAGTTTGACTGCAATGGGAAATTCGAGTTCAGTTTTGGGGGGAAAGGTAGCGATAATGGCCAGCTCGACCGTCCCGGGGGAATAACTGTAGATCCCGAGGGATTCATCATAGTGAGTGATTTTCAGAACCATCGAATACAGATCTTCCAGCCGAATGGCAGATTTTACGCCGCTTTTGGCAGCGAAGGTGACTCAGATGGTGAATTCAAGTTTCCGGGGGGTGTGGCACTTACAAAGGATGGACGAGTCATTGTTGCCGACAGGCATAACCACAGAGTCCAGGTCTTTTAAAGGGGTCAATCGGCTTTTTCCTTCAAGGTACCCTAAATTTTGGAAGAAAAATCGAAAAGGTCGCGAGAGAAGAGCAGCACATTTTCGGACTCGAACTGTAGACAGGTAACCAGTGGTAGAGCATCTTATAGTATCCAAGGTCGCTCATATTTTTTCCTTCCGAGCCACCTGGGTTTCTGACTTAAATAACATCTTTTTCATAGTTGTTGTTGTTGTTGCTGCTGCATAAGAAAGATAAAAAAAGGGGATTAGCATTATGCCATATGGCCTTCCGGCGTTTAGGTCTCGTTATTTTAAGCTCTGAAGGAGATATTTGTTAGTTTCCTTTTCCATGTTTTGTTTCTTTATCTCACTTTAATCTTCATTTTGGCCCTACTAGCCTTTTGACTAACTGCGGACAAGTGGAAATTGTAAATTATTATAAAATACGTTGTTGTTGATGTTGGTATTAGTAGTACAGACAAATGTAAAGAAAGGTTTTATTTTACCAAATGACAAAATAAGATTTATATTTGCTCACTGTGGCAACGCAACTTTTTTCGATTAACAAGTATTTTTTCAACATGACCATGATTCCATCATTAAGCAGACGAAAATCTAATGCACAGTTATGATGTTAACTAATATTGTTGACTACCTCATAAACATACATTTAATGGGATCGGAGAAGAAATACGAAACAGATAGATTAGTGCTTTTTAAATACTATAATGCAAAACCAGGAGGAAAATGATATATGTTTAATACATGCTTAAAAATACCCCAATAAGATGTGACATCAAGAACGTGCATGCCATTGATGCTAAAATATACTGAGAATAGTACATAAAAAAGCTGAAATTGATAAACCAGTCTCTTTAGTAATACTGCAATAGATATTGGTGCAATATGTATACTAGGGAAAAATGTAACCCCCTCTAACAAGACGAGGTGACGTCATGAGTGAAAACGTAAGACGACATCGGAACAAATTGACGCGGAGATCAGTGTTTTCTTTATTCAATTATATATAAGGTTTTTGAATTATTTTGCTCACCAAAGCCTTCTGCATGAGAAAGGCAATGCAACCAACTGAGGAATTTCTCAAAACACCTCTATCCCGTTGTCTAATACCGCGCGAAACTGAATTTAGCGGAAGAGCAGATAAGTGAACATTCTTAAGATCCTAACATAGCCCGGAATTTAAAGTATCCGGATAAATATAATTATATATATTTTCTTCATATTCACAAATTTCAATATGTTAATATGTAAAATGAAACAGATGTATTTCAATTTAAAAAACGTAATAATTAAAGATCACATCACTAACGATCTTACATCATCCTTTTTACAGGAACTTTCGGGTTATCAAATAGTTTACATAATGGCGTCTCAAAACTAAAAATTATATTCATGAAAATAGGCCAAGCTCCACTCCTAACTGACAGAAGACAAGGTAATTGGTTGTCCTGAAAATTATGGCAAAAATATGGAACGATCTCGTGGAAATGGAATTTCGGGTAAAAGTCCAAACTGGCCAATCCTAAGCGCACTATGAACACTCTCTTCTTTTAAGCATTACGTTTAAAGTAAGCCATAAACTCCCTGCAATTCCCTGTTATAATCAAAGACGCAGACAGTGAGTGATAAGAAGGGCTATTGTAATATATTCACCTGAAATGAACAGAGGACACTGAGTCAAGCGATAAACTTACCAGGTCGTTTTAAATTCCTGTATTGTTGTAAACGAACTTGTTCTTCTTCTTCTGCTAATTCCAGTCTCTGTCAGTGGAACTTGGATTCTGGATTCCAATCCTTTGTACGATTCCGGATTCCTCGAGCTGTATTCTGGGTTCCAAAGCCCAGGATCTCAGATCTCACAGGCAAAAAGTTCCAGGATTTCGGATTCCACAAGCAAAAATTTCACTGATTCCGGAATCCGCATTCCCTAACATGGCGCGATTCTTCTTCTTCTTCTCTGCAGTATATATGTAATAGTAAACTTGTGACCGATTTTTAGTGCACCGAGCTACAATTTAGAGTCAGTGTAGTCTTCGACTAGGTGTGGCAGCATCCATTCCGTTAAAAGATACATATACATCCGTGGCAGTTATTCAGTCACTGAGATTCTTTACGGACCAATTTCCTTTTGTTTTTCGTTGGCTGTTTAGGTTTCTCGTGCGTATTCAAGTGTTTATCCAACTCTTGCCTTCGGCTGAATTTCTTGTCACACTGTTTGCGCCCGTATGGTCGTCCACCAGTGTGTGTCCTTTCGTGCAACTGGCGCTGACAGCCCTGGGCAAAGCTCTTATCACAGTAGCTGCATTTGTTGGGCTTTTCTCCTGTATGTGTTATTTTATGTCGTTTTCGACTGTAGCTGTCAATAAAGGCTTTGTCGTACTCCTCACACGTGAACGGTTTCTCTCCAGTGTGTGTACGCTTGTGAAGATCCAGGCGAGCCTTCTGTTTATAAGCCATGGAACAGCGGTCACACTTGAAAAGCGTTTCAATCATATGTGCTGTAAGATTGTGTTTATCCATAGTCGATTTTCTGGATGCAGTGAAAGAACACTTTTCGCAACGAAAGATGTTGCCCTGGCCATGGTACTTTCTGGTGTGAGTAAACCGTGAACTTCTTGATTTAAAGGTTTTTGAGCAATGGTTGCACTAGTAGCGGAGCTCCACGTGCGCGAAGCGGAGCACCTTGGGTAAGAAAATTTGGTAATCTACCCATCCGAGAAATTTTGCTAGTCACGTGACCTTACGCCCGAGCGACCGTCCGTTCGCACTACAGGCATACCAATGTAAAATAACTCAACCAACAGTATGGCAACCCAAATGCAACTCGAGGTTATTTTGGCGGGAAATAGCATAGCCATCCGCGTCTTGTGAAGCAGAGACAACTAAAGAGTCAATAAAGACGAAAACGGAAAGCGGAAATTGTCTCTGTATCCGTGCTGTCTAAAGTATTAAGCTTAGATTAATTGTCCTGTCCACAAATTTGGAATATAGAGAAAAGATAAAGTGGGCGACAGGCCAGCGAAACTCAACGAGAGAAAGAGAAAAACAATGTTTCTTGCAGCTGCAAAAACCTGACAGAAGTGAGTGAACACGCTGTCGCTCAGATTACTCTAGTTTTGTCTTCCTCGCGTTCCGTCTGTTGCGTCTCGTGTGGTCTAAACATATTCTCAGAGGTGCGGAGATTTTAAAATCTAATACATTCGCTCCGACGCAGTAACAACCATGCCTGACCAGGTTTGGATTTCGAGACTCCAGTCTAGTTACACTACAGAAAAATTGGGTCTAGACAAATATAAAAATGGCATGGTAAGGTACCAGTAACTGTTGTAAAGACATACTGGAAGTCCGTTTCTAGAAAGTTCGGTAAACTTTTCGGACCCGAAATCAAATATTCAAATCGAAATATAAAGAATAAGAGCGCGGGTCCTGGCTAGAAATCTACTCCATTTTGTTTTATTAACTGACAGTCTTATCATGTTAGATGCATGTAAACAACAAAAGCTTTACGGGCCCGTTAATAATTGGGACTTTCGAGAAACGGGCGCCTGTCCGGGCCCAGTTTTTCTGAAGTGTAAACGCGCCATTAAGCCGGCTACAAAAATGATTGAGATCTTATGTTAGTCTCGTAACAGCACTTAAATAATGAGTTGTCCGAGCAGTGACCAGTTTCTGCTAATTAGCCCTAAAGTTGAATATTTGCTTAGAACCACGCATGCGGAAAAATACTCTTCTTCGGCTTAGAGTAATTAACAGCGGGGTTCTCTCTCGCGCGAAGCGCGCGCCAGCGGAGCACCATGGGTAAGAGAATTTGGTAAACCATCCATCCGAGAAAATTTGGTGGTGCATTGCATTGCAGCAATTACTTTCAATGGAGATGGTACAGATTTCCTTTTAATATAAATTTATGCAATGTGCTACTCCATCATCCATTTTGTACCCTGACTTTTTTATAAGTGGGTAGGGGTCATTATGTTTACTTATTGTCAAATATTTGTTGTTTGTTTATATCTTGGTCTGTTATCATATTTGCCTTTTTGCTCTAGTAAATTTGTCAATAAAGAAGTTCAAAATTCCAACGAAATGTTGATAAAGTCAGTCAGGGAATTAAAAAGGTTTCCCCACCTGGGTGGGGGTTTTACCAGTCAATATGCTCCAGTATGGTGGGAGTCTGCTAAGATTTGTAATGATGTCAAGTCAAATCCCCACCTTGGCCCGGGGTGGGGGAGGTCGGGGTTTCAATTGATAAGTGCATTATGTAACTGAATATCTTCCTGTTCCGTCATCCTTAGCGAATTACCATTGTTCAGTCCTTATTTTTCGATAAAAAGTGAGTATCAGAATACCAGCGCGTTTGATTTTTTCCTTCTTCAAAATACTGTCGGTTTTGAAAATGTTCCTCTTTCAAGAATTGGGTTGCGTTACTACAGTGATTCCGTGACTGTCATTTTGACAGCTCAGTTCGTGTCTTCAAACGTAAGCTATGTCACGTGCAGTCACGAACATATTGTCACGCAGAGTTGCCGGCTGGTAGAGTTCACTGTTTGGAAATGGCTAACATTGACCCAGTTTCACCATTTTACACCACTCCTCGATTGAAAAAAGCAACTTTGCAATGGGAAAACCTACAAAAAGTACGAAAAACGAGCCTTTAGGCTGTAAATATCTACTTTTGTCCGTTTCGAAATTGGAAGTGCACAATTACCGCCGGCCTACCATGAAAATTCCTGAACTTCGATGGTGTCTTACAGAGATTTCCTTCAATAACCCAAGCCATTTCCCAGGTATGTTTTAAATGAATGTCTAATTGTGTGATTTAATTGGCATTGAGAGAATTTGGAGTTATACCACATGTTAAGTATTGCCGTCGAAAATGGGTCATTATAACGAATTTAAGTTTTTGTTATCATGAAAACCTATCTCTCGTTTTTGAATCATTTCAGTACGACGAGCTTCGCTATTGCCCTGAAAGCATCTTCTAGGGGAAGGAAAAGAATTTT